TGTCTGGCCCCCCTGTGGGAGGGTGGGGCAGATAGATGGGAGAGTGGGCCGTGGGCAGGTCGGCTGGTCCCCGGGTGGGAGGGTAGGGCAGATGGATGGGAGAGTGGGCCGTGGGCAGGTCGGCTGGCCCCCCGGTGGGAGGGGAGGGCAGATGGATGGGAGAGTGGACTGTGGGCAGGTTGGCTGGCCCCCCAGTGGGTGGGTGGGCCGTGGGCAGGTCGGCTGGCCCCCCGGTGGGAGGGGAGGGCAGATGGATGGGAGAGTGGGCCGTGGGCAGGTCGGCTGGCCCCCCAGTGGGTGGGTGGGGCAGATGGATGGGAGAGTGGGCCGTGGGCAGGTCGGCTGGCCCCCCGGTGGGTGGGTGGGCCGTGCGCAGGTCGGCTGGCCCCCCTGCAGGTAGACAGGCCTGTCAAGCTGCCCTCACTGGAACCCCTGCCCACCCGTGGCACAGGTATCATTGCAAAGGAGCCCACGTCCCTGGAGGAGGAGATCAAAGAGATCCGCCGGAGCGGCAGCAGCAAAGCCCTGGACGCGCCCGAGTTCGAGCTCTCCGACATCTTCTACTTCTGCCGCAAGGGCATCGAGACCATCATGGATGATGAGGTGACCAAGCGGTTCTCCGCTGAGGAGCTGGAGTCTTGGAACTTGCTCAGCCGGACCAAAAGGAGCCCACGTCCCTGGAGGAGGAGATCAAAGAGATCCGCCGGAGCGGCAGCAGCAAAGCCCTGGACGCGCCCGAGTTCGAGCTCTCCGACATCTTCTACTTCTGCCGCAAGGGCATCGAGACCATCATGGATGATGAGGTGACCAAGCGGTTCTCCGCTGAGGAGCTGGAGTCTTGGAACTTGCTCAGCCGGACCAACTACAACTTCCAGTACATCAGCCTGCGCCTCACGGTGCTGTGGGGGCTGGGCGTGCTCATCCGGTACTGCTTCCTGCTGCCACTCAGGTGAGGAGCGCCCAGAGGCCTCCCAGCACTGCACTGCCTGGCACATTGCTTGCTTCCGCTGATGGCCTCTGCCTTCTGCTCTGGGAGAAGAGTGGGGCCTAGAGGTTAGAGCAGTGGTGGGGCTGGGGGTCCCAGGAAGTCCCCTGCACTCCCTTCAGTCCATCCTCTCTGCAGCTGTCTCAGCTGGGCCCTCTTGGTAGCACGAGGACCTAGAGGGACCCCCAGTCTGCAGCGGCTCCATTGAGAGGCAAGGCTTCCATCCCTGGGTGCATGGAGCTCATTGGCCAGCCTGTAACATCCCTCTCCCTCCTGCAGGATCGCCCTGGCCTTCACAGGCATCAGCTTGTTGGTGGTTGGCACCACAGTGGTGGGATATTTGCCCAATGGAAGGTGAGTTGGCCCGGCTGTGGGCAGGCGGGGGAGATGTATGCCTCAGTGGCTGTGGGACACACAGCACAGCCCCTGTGCAGCAGCCTCACTGAAAGGAGCAGACCAGGGCCCAGCTTAGCTGAGCAGTTTCACTCTGTCTCTTGGCTTGGGGCTGGCTGGCGGATGGGGTGGGGTGGGGCCAGCGGAACTGGGTTGGAACGCTTACAAATGCCTCTGCTCCTGGAGGCAGAGGGTGGGGGAGTCGCTGGCCCTTCTCGTGGAGGGCTCTCAGGTCACTGTCCGCCCTGTGTCCCAGATCCCCCAGCACAGCACATGCACTGTCTCACCTGCACGGTCCGTGAGGCAGCTCCTGTGCGGCTGGGGAACAAGCTCTGTTCTGCCCCGGCAGGTGGAAGGAGTTCCTGAGCAAGCACGTTCACCTGATGTGCTACCGGATCTGCGTGCGCGCCCTCACTGCCATCATCACCTACCATGACCGGTAAGGGCCTCCCCAGCCACTGCTCTCCCCGGCTCAGGCTAGGCCGGGCTAGGCTGTTTCCATGTCGTCCGTCTTGGCTTTGTGTTCTGTTCAGGGAAAACAGGCCCCGGAACGGAGGCATCTGCGTGGCTAATCACACCTCCCCCATTGACGTGATCATCCTGGCCAGTGACGGCTACTACGCCATGGTGAGGGCTGGGCCCGGAGCAGGCCACGGTGCTGCCTGGGGGTGGGGGTTGGCAAAGCGCGTGGGCTTGTCGGGGCCTGGGTCTGGCTGCCCAGCATAGCCCCTCTCTGGCTGGCTGCCCAGCGCTGCCTGTGTACAGCCCCTCTCTGGCTAATTGTCCGGCGGGGACTGGCCACCCCGGGGCACCCAGCTGCTGAGGCCTGTACCGCTCTGGTGTGGGGGCTCACAGCTTGCCGAGGCCCCAGGCTACTGGCCATTGCGCTGGGGGCTGGGCTGGTTGCCATCTCAGCCTGGCTGCCCTGAAGGTGAGAGGGGGTTTGGGATCCTTCCAGACTCCCCCTCTGGCAACTTTGGCACATTCTCCCGCCCCAGGGTGGCTTTCCCCACAGCCCCCGGAGAGGAGCAGGGCACCCTGCTGGGCAGCGGGGGTCTGGCTGGGAGCTGCTTGGACTCCTGCATCCAAGGCTGTAACAGGAGTCGTCTTCCTCTGGCTTAGGTGGGTCAGATCCACGGGGGCCTCATGGGCATGATCCAGAGGGCTGTGGTGAAGGCGTGTCCCCACGTCTGGTTCGAACGCTCTGAGGTCAAAGATCGCCACCTCGTGGCCAAAAGGTAGGACAGCGGCTGAGCGCGTTCTCCCAGCGGGGGAGGGAGGGCCTGCCCCAGACAGCTATCCAGGGGTGGGCTTGGGTTCTCAGGTGGCTCTCGGGAGCCTGGGAGCTGTCCCATTCCAGGGGCGTTTCACGCACGCTGCCGCCTGGAGGCTAATGGCTGGGGAGGGCGGCCCCAGGGCGCCATTTCTCAGGTGGCTCTCGGGAGCCTGGGAGCTGTCCCATTCCAGGGGCGTTTCACGCACGCTGCCGCCTGGAGGCTAATGGCTGGTCAGGGCGGCCCCAGGGCGCCATGCCAGTCGGTGACTGTCTTCCCTGCAGGCTGACGGAGCACGTCCAGGACAAGAGCAAACTGCCCATCCTCATCTTCCCAGAAGGTGAGTTGCAGACCGGCCGCATCACACCCCATCCTCTGGGGCAAGGCAGTGGCCCACACCCTCAGCCTGGCCGCGTGAGCCCTCGCCAGGGCTGGGCGCTGGGCAGCAGGAAAGCCCGTGGAAGGGTCCTTGAGAAGCCCCAGCCAGGGCTCCGGGGTGTGCTCACAGGGGCTACGCTCCTCTCTCCACAGGCACCTGCATCAACAACACCTCCGTGATGATGTTCAAGAAGGGAAGCTTTGAAATTGGAGCCACAGTCTATCCGGTAGCCATCAAGGTGAGGGGGGCTCCTGGCTGGGCTGCGTGTAGCCTACCCCACTAGGTGCCTTGCTGGGTGCTGAGAATACCAGGCTCTTCCCAGGGGGCTGAGGGGGAGGCAGAGGGCACAGGCCCAGCTCCCTGCACCAGGGCCTGGTCTAGCTTGGAGTCATGGGCAGTAGGGAGGAGGTCCTGGATCTCTGGGCCTTGCCTGGTGAGTCTGGGTGTGGGGAAGCCAAGATCTGGCTGTGCCTGTAGTCTGGGCAGTGTGGGCCTGCCTGGGGCCAGGCATGAGGGGGACACCTCCACCAGCCTTGCTGTGGGTCTCACGGGCTCTCCCCCTCTGCAGTACGACCCGCAGTTTGGAGATGCCTTTTGGAACAGCAGCAAGTACGGGATGGTGACCTACCTGCTGCGGATGATGACCAGCTGGGCCATCGTGTGCAGCGTCTGGTACCTGCCCCCCATGAGCAGGCAGGTGGGTGAGGGCTGTGCCATGCCTGGAGTGGGGAGGGGGCTGGGCCGCTTGTACTGAACAGCTCTGCTCTCCCACAGCCCGAGGAGGACGCTGTCCAGTTTGCCAACCGGGTGAAGTCAGCAATCGCCCGGCAGGGAGGCCTTGTGGATCTGCTGTGGTGAGTCAGAAGCAGAGCACCCCTGCCTGGTTCAGGGGCTAAGCTCCTAAGTGCAGTGCATTGGGTGGGCGCTGAGGGCACACGGGTCTGCTGACCCCTGCAGGGGCGTGGTAGCGTTTTCGGGGGCTCCTGGGAAGGGCAGGTGGCCACAGCCCTGCCTGGAGCAGCATGTATAGGCAAATATAACTTAGAGAGGGCCACGATAAGGTGGGTGCATAATTGGCTGGATAACCGTAGTCAGAGAGTTGTTGTTAACGGTTCTAAATCCTGCTGGAAAGGGATAACAAGTGGAGTTCCTCAAGGGTCTGTTTTGGGACCCGTACTGTTCAATATCTTCATCAATGATGTAGATATTGGGATAGAGAGTACTCTTATTAAGTTTGCAGATGATACCAAACTGGGTGGGGTTGCAACTTCTTTGGAGGATAGGGACATAATTCAAAATGACCTTAGCAAGTTAGAGAAATGGTCAGAGGTAAACAGGATGAGGTTTAATAAGGAGAAATGCAGAGTGCTCCACTTAGGAAGGAACAATCAGTTCCATACATACAAGATGGGAAGCGACTGTCTAGGAAGGAGCATGGCGGAAAGGGATCTAGGGGTCATAGTGGACCACAAGTTGAATATGAGTCAACAGTGTGATGCTGTTGCAAAAAAAGCAAATATGATTTTAGGTTGTATCAACAGGTGTGTTGTAAGCAAAACTCGTGAAGTCATTCTGCCGCTCTATTCTGCACTAGTTAGGCCTCAGCTGGAGTACTGTGTCCAGTTCTGGGCGCCACATTTCAAGAAAGATGTGGAGAAATTGGAAAGGGTACAGAGAAGAGTGACAAGAATGATTAAAGGTCTAGAGAAGCCTATGAAGCCAGGCTTCATGAACTGGGCTTGTTTAGTTTGGAAAAAAGAAGATTAAGGGGGGACATGATAGTGGTTTTCAAATATCTAAAAGGGTGTCACAAGGAGGAAGGTGAAAATTTGTTCCTCTTGGTTTCTGAGGACAGGACATGGAGTAATGGGCTTAAAGTGCAGCAGGGGAGGTTTAGATTGGACATTAGGAAAAAATTCCTAACTGTCAGGGTGGTCAAATATTGGAATAAATTGCCAAGGGAGGTGGTGGAATCTCCCTCTCTGGAGATATTTAAGAACAGGTTAGATAGACATCTGTCAGGGATGGTGTAGACGGAGCTTGGTCCTGCCTTGAGGGCGGGGGGCTGGACTCGATGACCTCTCGAGGTCCCTTCCAGTCTTATGATTCTATGTGCTGAGCCTGCCCTGGCAGTACCCCGTCATGCTGTATGTGCTTTCTCTCGCATGCCAGTTTGCAGGGGCACCCTGCTGCTACACACACTCTCCCTTGGGTGCTGCCGGGGAGGGCATCAGAGGCTGAGAACCAAAGTCTCTCAGCCAGTGGCTGAGCTGCCCGGCCCCTCTGCTGCTGTGGGGTCCGAGCACAGCAGAGCCTGGAGGCTGAGTGGCTGGAAAGTGAGGACAGCTGGTCTGAGACGTACTCCTGGTTGGGGCAACCCAGTGACTGAGTCTGATCACCCCACTCTCTCCCCAGGGACGGGGGTCTGAAGAGGGAGAAGGTGAAGGACACGTTCAAGGAGGAGCAGCAGAAACTCTACAGCAAGACGCTCGTGGGCAACCACGAGAACCGGAGCCGGTCCTGAGCTCTCTGCCTCCAGTGCTGCCCCGGGCCCTCGGGAGCCATGTACCCTCGGACATGGGCTGCTCCGCCCTCTACTCCACCCTCTGGCTCTGCCCCAGAGGCACCGCGCTGCCTGCGGCCCTGAGTGGCTGCCGGCAAAGACGCCTTCTCGTTACTGTTACAGCTCAGCCCGTTGCAGGGCCAGCATTAAACGGACACCGACAGTTGTGCCGTGGTGTGTGGGGCTGAGGGGGGTCGCTCTGGGCCAGGCTTCTGCCAGGAGAGGCTCCCTGCTCCCACAGGTGCCTTGACGGCAGGAAGGGACCTTGTATGCTGGTCCCTTAGACGCTCCTGAATGGCGTCTCTGAGCTGCCCAGCTTGGGCACATTGCTCTGTGCCCAGGTGCTGCACAGTGGGGTCCCCCCAGGAATCCCCTGGGGAGCCCTGAAGGGTGTGTCCATGCCCTCCCTCCAACTCAAACCTCTGGGGGAAGCCAGGGTGGAGAGGGACCCTGCTCTAGCACTGGGGTGGTGCACGTATCTTCTTCCCTGGGCAGTGGGGCGCAGGAAGGGAAGCTGCTGGTGAGGCTGAGGCCCTGTGTCTGTACCAGGCCTTGCAGGGAGGGGAGGTGTGTGCACACTCACCCCCCGCCCAGAGCACGGGCTGCCAGTCTCCTGTACCTGCTGCCTTCCTGCCCTCCTCTCTTGCAGCCCCACACACGTGACCAGTTCTGGGGTCAAGTGTATCAGGCGTTTCACTGCCCATGGCATCATGTGGAAAGGGCGTGGAACTGGGAGCCAGCTGGCATGAGCACTTCCGGGGGCGGAGAGCAGCCTGCAGCTGGCTGGGGGCGAGGGCTGCTCCCTGGAGTACCGTGGGCACAGACGTCCAGCTTGTGGAGCCATCAGTCAGGCTGTACTACAGCCCTTTCCCCTCTGCTCTGAGAGGGCAGTACAGGCTGCCCGGCCACAGGGCCTCTTGCACGGCTAGGAGCCCAGCTCCCTGGGGGAAAGAAGTGCTGCCCTGCTCACCAGGCACCAGCCCCCTAGCTGGCAGCCTGGCCGTGTGCTCTGGATAAATTCCCCGCTGGGCTGAGGCTGCTGGCAAGTGCCAGGTGCAAGTTACGGGTCGAAGTGCTGGCACCACAGCAGCGGCTGGTCCCGGGGGTGCGGGTCCTCTGAGCTATGGATGCACCTTAGAGCCATTCCCTCTGCCCCCCAGGAGAGCTTGGGGTGGGCTCTGGCTCTGTGCGCCCTGGGGGCTGTTCTCCCTTTGTGCCCCCTGTTCCTTGTGCTGTGCTGCACCAGCGGCCTTCCGGGGAGGCTGCCCACAGCCCCATTCGCCTCCCTCTGCCCCTGCAGTGATACCACCGGCAGTGGGGGCCTAGAGCTCCAAGGGCAGGCCTGGCAGTGCTGGGTGCTGGTTCCCGCTGGGCCAGGGCCAGGGCCAGCCCCTCCCCCTCACTCTGGCCTTTCCATGGAGCACAGAGAGGGCTCTGCTCCAGCACCCGGGTGGACGCTGCACGAGGGAAGGCACCAGGTTGCTGCAGGCAAGGGGCTGCAACCGCTGGGTAGGAATGGGCTGGGGGGGGTTCCTCCAGCCCCTCTTGCCATGCTGCAAGGCAAAGAGGCTTAGGCACCAGCCCTGCATCCCAGGCTCTGAGTGAGCACCTGCCACCCCCTTGGAGCCAGTGTACGGGGTCCCCAGGGTGCCTGTGCATCAGGAGGGGTCAGCAGGAGCTCAGGTGAGGGGGCCACAAGTGAGAGCAGTCGGGATGCTGGTTTGGCAGGGCTGGGTGGGGGAATGGAAGACAAAGCCCCTCCTAGCAGATGTCTGGTCACTGCCCCATCCAGCTGCCTGTGTCGTGGGGGTTGGAGTAAGCCACAGCCCAGGTAGCTGGAGGGTTTAGGGGACTGGCTCTGCCCTGCACTACAGGGAGGGGCAGGGCCCTCGGGGGCTGCTTGGGCCCTCTGCTGACAGGGGCCCC